GCCAATACCACTTCTTTTTCTTGTGTATATCTGGTGGTCGCTTCCTGAAACCGTGCCAAAGCCTGCATAGCCATTTCATTCTGTCAATGTTACCTTGAAATGCAAAAGAACACCTAATATTATGCTATATTTATTATCACATAACAAAGAGGGAACGAAAATATTCTGACGGACTTTTCTGTACTCAGTTTCGAATTGACGCAGATCAGTTCTTTTCTCCAGAATTTTAGCCTCTATTTCTTTTAGCCTCTCTGTTGTGTCTTCGTAACTCTTTGCGCACATTGCTTCAATTGTATAGCTGGCTGGCTTGAAAAAATTGTCACCTGAACATATCAATTAGGATAGCTCAGAACAGAGAAATGTCATAGATATAAACAGAGAAATAAAGAATGCGTACCATATACAGCAAATATATGAGTTCCAGGTTTAAGTGTCGAGACTTCGCAAGGTTGGAGACCTTCCAATCTTTTAAAGAATGCAGCCTCAGGATCTTTAGCCATTGCCAACTGTAGTACGAAAGCGACTCTGCAAATTAGTTACAAGGAGCATAAAGACTAAAGCCACTAGATGCATCATACATACCGCATTCACTGTCGAGTCCATACGGTAGACTTGAAAATGCAGGAAATACATGCCTGCAGATGTCACCTTGCCAGTCTTCTGACTATCTTCCTGCAGAGAATAAATGATATGTTATTAAACACAACGACACAACCCCTAGCCAGAGTTTCCCAACAGCCTTAATGATATGAGTGTAATTTGAGCAAGCAAATATTGAGTGGCTAAGAAGCTTGACTGATAAATGGGAGATAGAGATGTAACAGGAAACGATATGAAGCATTCCCCAAGGAAACGTAGAAAATCTTATGTTTTAAACAAGATGAGGAATATTGTATATTCAAGATAAGGGAGTAAACAAGGTGTCTGGGTTTGGTTGGCAAATTAATAACATGATAAAAGTTGGTTTGGATGGTGGCACTTGCTTTTTTAGCACACCTACATCTTAAAAGTTGGACTGGTGAATATGGTGGAAATTTAAGCTCTCCAAACTCTTACTCAAGGTTAATACACCATGCACAGCAGGTATAATAATAAGGATTACACTATTAAGCCATTGGAATATAATCCATGGCATGCCATTGCCAAATAATGACAACCAGGAAATGGAATAAAGCAGGACATACCTGTAGAGCTAGTCCATAGCCTCCGTTGACTTCTTGTTCGAAGAAAAGAAGCTGTAGACAATATTGGAAAATTAAGAGTGAATAGTATCTCAATACTCGCACGGAAAACAACAAGCAAAGCTTCAATGCAAGTGAAAATGAAGAAAGAATCAAACTCGTACCTTAAATTTACTTTGTGCAACTGAAGTGGCTCTAACTACTATTCCTGAATGAGCTTGCTCTTCACTTATTGTCACACCAAAGAAATGAGCAGATTGCTTTTCAACCTACACACACAAAAATGACATTTTACAACCCTCCCGTATAACTAATACCACAAGAATGGCAGCAGTAGAACCTTTCCCATAGCTGATGTCCCAACTGGGAGTGGTCTCACTGTCACTGTTCCATTCATAGCTTCTTCAAGAACAGTAGGAGATACCGTCGTCTTGATAGGAACCCCGAGCTTGCTAAAAGTAGTATAAGAGAGCAGGTAATTAGGAATCTTCAATCATCACTGAAGAATAATTCTCACTGTATTCTGCAATCACCTGAAAAGTGCAGCAAACATTGTGTTCACAGTTCCAAGATTGGACAAATCAATCTCCATATCCATTCCTTCATTTTCCAACGCCTGAGAAATAAAATACAACAAGAGATGTAACCTATACTCCCTCCGTCTCAGTATATAAGCAAAAGCCTAAATGGACCTGTGACAAAAAAGCAGTATTTTGCAAGACAAATACAACAATATTATTCTTATATGCCCAATCCATATAGTTCCTCACATATAAGTGGTCAAAGTTTAAAATGTCCGATCGCACACAACATAATATGCCCTATATTTTGGGACATAACAAGTACTACCTCTGTTCACTTATATAAGACGTTTTAGACATTCAGACACTGTTCAAAATAGTACAAAGCAAGCTGTCTGAAACGTCTTATAAAAACTAACGGAGGGAGTAAATCTTATTTTCTCCATCAAATAAGAGATATATTCAGATGCTAAATATCTGAGATTTAGCAAACACACCTTCACAAAATAATAAGTAAATAAGCATCAGTGTCAAATTCTATTTCTGTAATCCTGCATTAGTTCATTTTAATGATGTCACCCTGAGTCTCAACTTGTCTAAGGAAAATCAGAGGCTCTAATCTTGCATAATTATCCAAAAATAAAAATTTAGTCAGATAGTTATAGTTCAATAGTGAAAATGCTTCCTTGCTGGTCGATAGAGGCTCTCATTGCACCTTCAGCAATTTTGATGGATCACCAGACGTTTCTCTACAACGCAACACCCAGTATTTGAGTAACCAGACCACACAGATTCATCTTGTTACAGCATAAATGGATTAAATGTCCGGTCACATAATAAAAAATAGACAGTCAGGGTGCGTTTGGTAGCAAAAGTATTTTTGTAGTTTTCTAGGAATACGGTGTTGCCAAACTAGGCCTCAACACCATGCTGATTGTAGACATAGCCCAGTCAGAAATCACATTTAAATGATGGATCTCTGGTTGTTTGGAAATTGCAGTATCACTGAAGAGCCAGCCCTACATAGTTAGAAGGTAGGCCAGGGGTTTCTTCCTACAGTCAACCAAGTACAATGCTACCAAAGGGCCAATTTTTCATCTCTAATAAATATTTCTGGTGTAGCTCTAGAAAAATATGCAGTAATAGTAGAGTTAAAGAAAAGAAAAGATTGCTAACCTCAATATATTAGACAAAGGAGTTCAATTACACGAAATGCTGGAGGACAACTCAAGAATAATCTTGATCTCAATAAAGCAAATAAACCCAACTTTGAAGTATTGAGGATAAACCCAGTAATCAAACAGGTATTTCAGTATCTAGATTTTTGCCAAACTCCATATTATGAGAAAAGGTGATACAATGCAGAACCATTACAGTTAAAATAAAATATGCACAGACGGAAAAATGCTATTCGAATGTAGTCTGGTGCATTCGGCGTGAGAACAGCACCTCAAAACCAGCAGTGTCATATTGCCTCCGTTTCTCAGGATCTGACAAGATACTGTACGAATATGCAACTTCTTTGAACAGCTCTGATGCTTCTGGGTTGCTAGCATTTTTGTCCGGGTGATACCTGTCAAATATAATAGTAACTATGAAAATCATCCAAGCATCTATGGCAATCAAGTCTTAATTTTGTGGTAACAGTGAAAAAACTAAAAGAGTATGCAAAAAGTGAGGATGCCAAATAGATGACAAGCATAAGGAAAGATTTGTTAGCATCCCAGGATTTCTATCGTCCCTTGAATTTACCATGAAACTTGAGATTACACGACTATATAAAGAACGTACTACATAAAAAAGGGTTAAATGAGATGTCCCAGAGACAACACATAAGGCCATATATGAATCTACGAAACATATGGTTTTACATAAAATCCTTTGCAGTGCATCCATAACATTGTGGTCGCTATGTGTCCTTATGTTTCCTTGTAAATAAAAGCAAACGGAAACTACAATATCATTATTGTAGTGCATTTCCACGTTGACATAAACTTCACCAATCAGCAACGGTCAGCATTGGATGACACAAGTTTAGTGATTCTCAGAAAATGCTTCTTTCTGCCTGCTGTATGAAGCAACATGCTGAACAAGTAACTTGTGTAAAAGTATCCCTTCACTAAAGAGAAGAGAGCCTCTATTTCCAGGCACGGATTATTTTTTAATATGAACTGAACCACCGTCATGTCTCGTCGTCATAACATAATCAGACAAGAACCAGGCAATTTCGTTAATGACAAATGAAGCCGCGTCTTCTGCATAGCACAATCTAAACAGCACGACCAAGAATGAACTGGGAACCAGAGGGCTGAGCACGAACTTGAGCGCGAGCTTGCGGTAGGCGGACTTGATCTCCTGGTCGGAGGAGTCTCTTGATACGGAGAGCACCTCATACGGGTCCCGCCGGAGCGCTGGCGCCGACGGCCCCTCCATCTTCCCCGAGGATGCCATCAGGGAGCAATACCCTAACACACAGAACAACAAATCACAAACCAAATCAGAGAAAGTCGGCGTGAGATCGTGGACCTCACCTGCGCGAGGATGCGGCCAGATCTCGCCGCCTCCTAAGAAAAGATACGGGACGGCAAGACGAGGAGACAGGGGCAAAGAAGGACCGGTCGCAAGTGGGATTTCCGTTGCCTTGATTTTTTTTTTTCTGATTTCATTAACTATTAAAATTAAACTAGAAAAAAGTGAACCTAGGGTCTTCCACAGCAATTTGACAATCCAAACCGTCTGATTTGTTCAATCAAAAGTGGACGACGGTTCACCTCATTTGGGTCGCCGGTACACACGTCTATATGGTATCATTTTTTGAATCATGTTGACTAATAGTGACCCGCATAGGTAGGCCCAGAAAGAGGACACCCAATATTTAGGCACGTTGCTTTCCTCGTCTCTTTTCATCTTTATCATCGGCATGTGCGTTCCTCACAATCGCCATGCCACCATAAGAACGCAAGATAAGGGGAAGGATCCGTCGGCGGCGGCAGAGAAGAAAGAGATGGAATAGGTGTCTAGTTGCATTCAAGAAGATGACGCTTCCATCTTCACCCGATGCCGATGCAGCCCTCCGAAAGATCCTCCTCATGGTCTTAATATTCATATCCATCTGGTAAAAAAATAACTGTTTGGATAAACTAGTCAAATAGTCACTACACACGTGTTTGCCGGGCCTACGTAGTTGGGGCAACTGTTCTGATGACCCATCTAGGCTAACCTGAGTTGACCCATGCTGTCAGATCAGAAACCAACGACCCAGATTGGCATCCTAGACATTAGCCCCTCCACGCCTTCACAAATTTCTACACCTCCTAGCCTCCCTACCGTTAGAGACATTGAATGTCTTGTGAGCTCGATTTCCTCGTTCGGCATCGTTCTCTTCGCTCCTTGCCAATGTCAATTGTTTCTCGCCACTTATGTTTCCTCCTTTTGTGCTTTCCTCTAGCGCTTTGCTTCCTCCGCGACATGGAGGAGAAGGTGACGGGACCTCCCTCGCTACAACCAACACAATAAGGGCGGGGGAAGTGAAGGAGGAGGAAGGGAGCGCCCACCCACGGGCCACAACAACACAATGGATCTGCATGAGGAGGTGTCGGTGGAGGGGCTCCCTGTCGGCCAACTTTGTTCTGTAGCAATAACAAGTTGTCTGACACCGGGACGACAAACAGGTTCTGCGGGATGCGGCTGCCATTCTTAGCCTTGCCCATGTCATGTTGCACGAGCACCACAGGTGGACAATGAGACAGATAAGGAGTGTGATGCGGGGTAGGATCCATACCTTTTTTAGAAAGGGTATGATCCATACCTGCATGGTGATTTCTTTGCTTTGATTTGCTCCTTCTCGTCAGTTCATCTTAGCTCTGCATTGTCTCAGTTTTTCCAGTAGCAGGTTTCATCCAAACACTCAATATGGTGTTTGAAAATAATGAACCTCAAACCGTCCCTACATGCATGTGCTCGCTAGGCCTACATAGTGTTGGAAGTGTGCCCTCAGGCATAATTGTGTTATTACTTATTTCCATGTTTATAGTTAATGTTTATATTCTATGCTATAACTAAAGGAAATATGCCCTAAAGGCAATAATAAAGTTGTTATCTTATATTTCCTTACTCATGATAGAGGTTTATTATTCATGCTAGAATTGTATTGATCGGAAATCTAAATACATGTGTGAATACATAAACAAACACCGTGTCCCTAGTGAGCCTCTACTTAACTAGCTCATTGATCAAAGATGGTTAAGGTTTCCTAACCATGGACATGAGTTGTCATTTGATAATGGGATCATATCATTAGGAGAATGATGTAATGGACAAGACTCATCCGTTAGCTTAGCATTATATATGATCGTTCAGTTTTATTGCTATTGCTTTCTTCATGTCAAATACATATTCCTTCGACTATGAGATTATGCAACTCCCGGATACCGGAGGAATTCCTTGTGTGCTATCAAACGTCACAACTTAACTGGGTGATTATAAATATGCTCTACAGGTACTCCCTCCGGTCCTTTTTAGTTCGCATATAAGATTTGTCTAAAGTCAAGCCTCGTAAAGTTTGACCAATTTTGTAGAGAAAAATAACAACATTCACAATATGAAATCAATATCAATAGTTGTGTCATGACTTAAATATTCATATTGTATAACTTTAGCATGGTACATGTTGATACTTTTTCATATAAATATGATCAATCTTTATGAAGTTTGACTTCAGATAATTCTTATATGCAGAGTAAAAATAGCCGGAGGGAGTATCTCCGAAGGTGTTTGTTGAGTTGGCATAGAACGAGATTAGGATTTGTCACTCCGAGTATCAGAGAGGTATCTTTGGGCCCTTTCGGTAATACACATCATAAGCTTGTAAGCAGACGACTAAGGAGTTAGTCACAAGGTGATGTATTACGAAACGAGTAAATAGACTTGCCGGTAACAAGATTGAACTAGGTATGAAGATACCTACGATCGGAATCTCGGACAAGTAACATACCGATAGACAAAGGGAATTGCGTATGTTGTCATAACAGTTCAACCGATAAAGATCTTCGTAGAATATGTAGGAGCCAATATGGGCATCCAGGTTCTGCTATTGGTTATTGACCGGAGAGGTGTGTCTCAGTCATGTCCACATAGTTCTCGAACCCGTAGGGTCCGCACGCTTAACGTTTGTTGACGATATAGTATTATATGAGTTATGTGATTTGGTGACCAAATTTTGTTCGGAGTCCTGGATCAGATCACGGACATGATGAGAAGTCTCGAAATGGTCGAGAGGTAAAGATTGATATGATGATGGTATTCGGACACCGAAAGTGTTCCGGAAGGTATCGGGTACATATCGGATCACCGGAAGGGGTTCGGGCACCCCCCCTCCCACCCGCGCGCGAAAGACATGTGCCTTATGGACCAAGAGGGGAAACGCACCAGCCACAGGGGGCTGGTGCGCCCCCCATATGGGCCGGCCAAGGTGCAGAAGGAAAGGGGAAGAAGGAAATGAAAGAAAGGGAATAGGATTACCCCTTCCCCCTCTTTCCTTCCCCCTTCCGATATATATGGCAGGGAGGGCGCGCAGATAGGGAGGAGCCCAAGTAGGATTCGGTCCTACTTGGGGCGCCTCCTGGCCTCTCCCCTCCCCATCCCACCTATATATATGTGGGGGCGCCTAGCACACCCGAGACAATTGTTTAGCCATGTGCGGCGCACCCTCCGTCGTTTACAACCCCGGTCATATTTTCGTAGTGCTTAGGCGAAGCCCTGCGAGGATCACTTCACCATCACTGTCACCAGGCCGTCGTGCTGACGGAACTCATCTACTACCTCAACGTCTTGTTGGATCAAGAAGGCGAGGGACGTCACCGAGCTGAACGTGTGCAGAACATGGAGGTGTCGTGCGTTCGGTACTTGATCGGTTGAAGCGCGAAGAAGTTTGATTAAATCAACCGCGTTAAGAAACGCTTCCGCTTACGGTCTACGAGGGTAAGTAGACACACTCTCCCCCTCGTTGCCACGCATCTCCATGGATAGATCATTGCATGTGCTTAGATATTTTTTGTTTTCCATGCAACAATACCCAACAGTGGCATCATGAGCCAGGTCTATGAGTAGATGATATGCACGAGTAGAACACAAAGAGTTGTGGGTGGTGATAGTCATACTGCTTACCACCAACGTCTTATTTTGATTCGGCGGTATTGTGGGATGAAGCGGCTCGAACCAACCTTACATGTCCACGCACATGAGACCGGTTCCACCGACAAACACGCAACTAGTTTTGCATAAAGGTGGTTGGCGGGTGTCTGTTTCTCCTACTTTAGTTGAATCGAATTTGACTACGACCGATCCTTGAAGAAGGTAAAAACAACAAACTTGATGAAACACCGTTGTGGTTTTTGCGTAGGTAAGAACGGTTCTTGCTAGAAGCCCATAGCAGCCACGTAAAACTTGCAACGACAAAGTAGAGGGCGTCTAACTTGTTTTTGCGGGGTATGTTGTGATATGATATGGTCAAGACATGGTATGATACACGTTATTGTATGGGATGATCATGTTTTGTAAGTTATCGACAACCGGCAAGAGTCTTATGGTTGTCTCTTTATTGTATGAAATGCAAGCGCCATGTAATTGCTTTACTTTATCACTATGCGTTAGCGATAGTTGTAGAAGCAATAGTTGGCGAGATGACAACGACGCTACGATGGAGATCAAGGTGTCAAGCCGGTGACAATGGAGATCATGACGTTGCTTTGGAGATGAAGATCAAAGGCACAAGATGATGATGGCCATATCATGTCACATCTTTTCATTGCATGTGCTTTTATGCATCTTATTTTGCTTAGTGCGATGGTAGCATTATAAGATGATCCCTCACTAAAATTTCAAAGTATAAATGTTCTCCCTGAGTATGCACCGTTGCGATAGTTCGTCGTGCCGAGACACCATGTGATGATCGGGTGTGATAGACTCTGCGCTCACATACAACAGCTGCAAGACAGTTTTGCACATGCGGAATACTTGGGTTAAACTTGACGAGCCTAGCATGTACAGACATGGCCTCAGAACACTGGAGACCGAAAGGTCGAATGTGAATCATATAGTAGATATGATCAACACAGAGATGTTCACCATTGATGACTACTCCATCTCATGTGATGATCGGACATGTGTTAGTTGATTTGGATCACGTATCACTTAGATGACTTGAGGGATGTCTATTTAAGTGAGATTTCTTAAGTAATTTGATTAATTGAACTTAATTTATCATGAGCTTAGTCCTGATAGTATTTGCATATCTATGTTGTAGATCAATGGCCCCCGCTATCGTTCCCTTAAATTTTAATGCATTCCTAGAGAAAGCTAAGTTCAAAGATGATGGTAGCAACTACACGGACTGGGTCCATAACTTGAGGATTATCCTCATTGCTGCACAGAAAAATTATATCCTTGATGCA